TTTTTTAAAAAATATGATAGATTAACCTAATCCGCACCCCTAACATGTCCTATCAAGTTGAATGAGGAAAATCCTGTTACCTATTTTGTGGGTCAAGTTGTTTATTAAGGAAAATCCTCTACCAGTATTTTCCTCCTAGTTTATTATAAATAGCGGTTGAGTTTTCGGGATATAATTTCGAATAGCAGCATATCTTGTAGTAGAAGAATCTTGTTACAGAAGAGAATGGCAACAATCGAATGCTGGAATTTAGCGAAACTGAATAGTGAGTTTTTTCATATGTGTTTAGTATTAATATTATATATATATATATATATGTATATATTAATTTTTATTATTTAGATAAACCAGGGGTTATAATCGATTGCGAGGGGTTCCAATTTAAAAATGAGCCCCTCTTACAACCGTACAACGGTTTTTTAACCAGGCAGATTGGGTATGTGGGGTTTAATTGCGAGGATTTTGGGATTCTTAATTTTTTCCATCCCGACATACAATGGAAAAAATTAACCCCCGGTGATAAAAAAACCGTGAGGTTTTGTAACGGCTTACATAAGCTGTATTTGGCATACCGCCATCAAAATGATGGCAATCAGTGGATACAACATGAATATCGATTGCAAGGGGTTCCAATTTAAAAATGAGCCCCTCTTACAACCGTACGACAGTTTTTTAACTAGGCAGATTGGGTATATGGGGTTTAATTGCGAGGATTTTGGGATTCTTAATTTTTTCCATCCCGACATACAATGGAAAAAATTAACCCCCACTGATAAAAAAACAGTGAGGTTCTGTAACGGCTTACATAAGCTGTATTTGGCATATCGCCATCAAAATGATGGCAATCAGTGGATACAACATGAATATGTTGTATCCACCGTCCAAAAATNGATTCTACCTCATCTGAGTCCTCATCCTCACATGATAATTCTTCTTCCTCAGAAAAAGAAGAAGAAGAAGAGCCACCACAAAAAAGACAGAGATGGAGGCCTTAAAACAGTTGTGTATTAAATAAAACTTCTTTATATTTTTGAGTATTGAAAACAAAACTAAAAAGTACACAATTCTGTTGGATATATCTAAGCTTAACGCATATATAAAAACAGCTTGATATTCACGGCGAATCAGATGATTATGGTTGTATTTTCCGAATAAATAGTGTGAACACGCAATTTTTAAAATATGATAGATTAACCTGATCTGCACCCCTAACATGTCCTATCAAGTTGAATGAGGAAAATCCTGTTACCTATTTTGTGGGTCAAGTTGTTTATTAAGGAAAATCCTCTACCAGTATTTTCCTCCTAGTTTATTATAAATAGCGGTTGAGTTTTCGGGATATAATTTCGAATAGCAGCATATCTTGTAGTAGAAGAATCTTGTTACAGAAGAGAATGGCAACAATCGAATGCTGGAATTTAGCGAAACTGAATAGTGAGTTTTTTCATATGTGTTTAGTATTAATATTATATATATATATATTAATTTTTATTATTTAGATAAACCAGGGGTTATAATCGATTGCGAGGGGTTCCAATTTAAAAATGAGCCCCTCTTACAACCGTACGACGGTTTTTTAACCAGGCAGATTGGGTATGTGGGGTTTAATTGCGAGGATTTTGGGATTCTTAATTTTTTCCATCCCGACATACAATGGAAAAAATTAACCCCCGGTGATAAAAAAACCGTGAGGTTTTGTAACGGCTTACATAAGCTGTATTTGGCATACCGCCATCAAAATGATGGCAATCAGTGGATACAACATGAATATGTTGTATCCACCGTCCAAAATTTTTTCAAAAATTACGGTTTCATTTTTTTTAAAGGCAGGCCAATTGAAAAATGTCTAATTAAGAGGGGAAGCGATCGCGTTTTTAAAATCGACGCGTTAGATGTAGAAAAATACAGGGTACCAAAATCCTCGGAAATAAAAATCCCGTGTCCTTATCATGAAAAATTCATCCCACACTGCTCATTATATGATTGTTTTTCATACAAGTATTTTATGAAAACAGGTAAAAATATTTTATTTTGTTTTTAAATANTAACGCATATATAAAAACAGCTTGATATTCACGGCGAATCAGATGATTATGGTTGTATTTTCCGAATAAATAGTGTGAACACGCAATTTTTAAAATATGATAGATTAACCTGATCTGCACCCCTAACATGTCCTATCAAGTTGAATGAGGAAAATCCTGTTACCTGTTTTGTGGGTCAAGTTGTTTATTAAGAAAAATCCTCTACCAGTATTTTCCTCCTAGTTTATTATAAATAGCGGTTGAGATTTCGGGATATAATTTCGAATAGCAGCATATCTTGTAGTAGAAGACTCTTGTTACAGAAGAGAATGACAACAATCGAATGCTGGAATTTAACGAAACTGAATAGTGAGTTTTTTCATATGTGTTTAGTATTAATATTATATATATATATATATTTATATGTATATATTAATTTTTATTATATAGATAATCCAGGGGTTATAATCGATTGCAAGGGGTTCCAATTTAAAAATGAGCCCCTCTTACAACCGTACGACAGTTTTTTAACTAGGCAGATTGGGTATATGGGGTTTAATTGCGAGGATTTTGGGATTCTTAATTTTTTCCATCCCGACATACAATGGAAAAAATTAACCCCCAGTGATAAAAAAACCGTGAGGTTTTGTAACGGCTTACATAAGCTGTATTTGGCATACCGCCATCAAAATGATGGCAATCAGTGGATACAACATGAAAATGTTGTATCCACCGTCCAAAAATTTTTCAAAAATTACGGTTTCATTTTTTTTAAAGGCGGGCAAATTGAAAAATGCCTAATTAGGAGGGGGAGCGATCGCGTTTTTAAAATTGACGCGTTAGATGTAGAAAAATACGGGGTACCAAAATCCTCGGAAATAAAAATCCCGTGTCCTTATCACCAAGAATTCATCCCACACTGCTCATTATGTGATTGTTTTTCATACAAGTATTTTATGAAAACAGGTAAAAATATTTTATTTTGTTTTTAAATATTATAGCATTTCAGAAATACTGAATATATATTTTTTTATTATATAGAATTGTCGGACATATTCTGAAAATCGTGGAGGAGGAAATGTAAATTTTGTAAAATAAAAGCACAATTTTTATATTTTAAATAGATTGTTTTATTGAATTACAACACTGGTTATTGGTTATTACAATCGGTTTTGATAAATGAAAATTATTTTTTACAAAATTTTTAACAAATTCATCATTATAAAATTTATCTGTTACATGCAATTCTGATAAACATAGATTTCTATTAATTTTATATAAAAAATATAAGCAGAAATAACCACAGTTTAAGGAAAACAAACTTTGATGAATAATATTATTCCAACAATATTTTTTTGAATTTCGTTTTATAAATCTGATGATACTCGCTTTTCTCAATTTTAATCCATAACTATCGTAATAAATGCAAGAATTTTTATCTTTAGTAAAAAATACCGATACCCAATGACTTCCAGGCTCATTTTTTTCATCTAAATTAATTATAAAAGATTGTTTATTACCAATTCGAAACGGAAGATCGTTGGATGCAAAAACTCCTCCGAAATTTCTTTTTATTTTCGGATCGCTTGCTGCTAATCTCCACAACGTAACGGAATTCATTAATAATCGACGAATACGGTTCGTGAATAATCAATTTCTAAGGTGTTATTATATTCTAGCAAAAAAATAACGTTTCTGGTTTCTGGTAGCGCCTTCGAGAACTTTAATTCCATAGAAACGTTTCCTAGCTGGTTAACGCTAACGTCATTCTCGGAGCCTGATTTATCGGGTGTAAGATCGAAACAATATAAAGTATAACCGTTTCCGTACTCGTCGTACGATATATTTATAGATTTGTGATGATGAATACATCCGGTATCTTCGAATAACAAGATAAAATTTTTTGCATAAATTTTATTGCTATAATCCGGAGTATAGGGTTTAGAAGGAATCATTTGATTGTCTTTTGATAAACATATATAATTTAAATCATAATTTTTAAAATTAAAAGGATTACGCTTCACATTTCCATTAAATGCAGAATTAGAAACTAATCCGAGAGTTATTCTATAAGGTAGTTGGCCAATAACAACGTTTGATATACTTCTAGACTGAATCCCGCTAGTTAACGTAAAGACTTTAACATCTGTCCTTCTGAATGGTAACTTAATTAAAGCGGTTTGTAGTGCTTTTTCAAACCCTATCTGTAATGACGAACTAACGTCTACTTTATTAATTTTCAGCGATGCGTTTTTAATAATAATTTTATAGTTGTCGTTATCTGCCGTTAGCGCAAAATTTTCTTAAGATCTTTCCAATTTAATTCTTAGGTCTACATTGTTCGTTAGAAGCTTAGGCTGGTTCGTTAAATCGATATGAAGGCGTCCCATTAAATCTATTATTTTACTTCCTTTGCTGATGTTAAATCTTTTAACTAATCCGTAGTTTGTATTATTTTCATCTAACGGATTTATCGAATCCATTTGTCCAGCAGTATCTTTAAAAAATAACGCGCTCGTTAAAAAAGTTTCCTGCACTTCTTTCGAATTAAATAGCAAGGCATCTAATATAGCGCGATACGGGTAATTAACCTGCGTAATTATAGGTTTGTCATTTAAAAAAACAGTACATTGAGAAAACAAACTATTTAAAAAATAGTTAACAGGAGTAACTTTCTCTTCCAAGCCGAGGTTTGATCCGTCTTTCTTTACGATTTTCGCCTGAACACATAGATAAATCGAATGTAGATCCATATAATGCTCACCCGATCCTGATATAAGAAACTCTATAGGTGATCTACTATCGTTAATTGCGGCCACAGGATGAGCGATTACTTCATACGTATTGTCGATAGCCATCTGTATTCCAACATTCTTAAACAAATCTAATTCGGACTTGGTACAGCCGCAGGAATGGACGTTCATTGTTTCTTAATTACCAAAAATATCGTTAAGTTTTTGCTTCTTCTTCTTCTTCTTCTTTTCTGACTGAGTTAATCTTTTCGGTCGTTTTCTTTTTATACCCGATCCTGTCTGCACTTTTTTAAGCACGTCTTCCTTAATTTCAGATCGTACATCTTCAAAACGATTTTTTGTAGATTCTTTAAACGACTTTTCTCCAATTACATCTGTTCCTACATTCGATGCAAATTTTAAAGCTTTACCCCCTAGATACTTTCCTACTTTACTAAGAATAGGAATAGATTACGAAATAAATCCCCAAAAAATTCGTATCCTCTCTGTATTTACGGTCCAGCAAAATAAGTCCCTCTTCCAATTTGTCGTGCAAATAATGAAAACTCGTGTGTCAGTACCGTTCCTCCTGCCTGATTGCAGTAATAATCTATACAATCTCGCGGATCGAGCTTCATTTTCTACTTCACAAAGACGAACTAACGTTAATAAATAAAATATACCAATATTTATATCTGTTTAAAAAATAAAACTAATAATGTCTTTCCTCCAAAAAAGACGATTTCTTTTCCGCTAGCAGTTCTCAGCTCGATTTCGATTGTATCTATATAATTACGTCGTAAAGGAAGGTATAGAGGTGATTGGTAGACCCTAACTATTTGATCTGACTTTTCCCCCATTACAGGTATAACCCTTAAAAGTGGAGCGGTTATATCCCCAACACGATGAGAAGCAACGATATTCGAATAAATAAAAATTTCTGAAATTCCGCAGATAATTCGATGGGATAGTCGCTCACATATTCGCCTTCGGAAAATTTGCTTTTTTTAAATCCTAACAAATCTTTTAATTCGTTTCCGAATTCAATCGTTATATTTTTATGAACTTTTAAAACGATTTTGTTATTAGGCAGTAATGCTAATTTAATATATTTAAAAATTCCGAGAAATTTTTCAACAGAGGAATATAACCCTATTGGAATAAAAATTTTTTCCTCTACATCGATTTCCTCGACAACTTTTTTATCTCTTTCTATTAAAGTTATAAATTGATCTTTATAAAATCTAGGATTTGATAGATATTCCTACTCGCTCCTCGCAATATTAAACTCGAACTCCGTTGTTTAAATATTATATCTTTGGTTGGTAAATTTAAAAAATAAAGTAGTTTATGAGCCTTTTTCTTTCGAAATATACAACTCGAATCCCTCTTCCAAATTTAGTTTTACGTTTTTATAATCCTTGTCTAAAACAAATTCTGCCAACTTAGATCCTGTTAACAAAACTATATTCTTGTTTATCCAATGGAAAAGCGTCCCTTCTTCATTTTCATCGCCTGTAGTTAATGGAATCTCCATGTTACATCAGTTATTTTTTCTCTTCTAATTTTATGTCTAGTAATAGTATAATCATTATTATGATTTGATATGTTGAACCAATTTCTAGGAATAATAACCTCGCTCAGACCTACTACCCATTTCCCGCGTAAATCGATAGGTGGACTCATTTTCACGGTGAAATGAGACTGCTTATTTTCGGGAAATAACTCCATGCTCGCGTTGCTTATCAGAGTGACGAAAAAGTCCGACTGCATCATTTTGTTACCTTCTGTAATTCTTCTGTATAAAATCTTCCTTCCAAAATCTCGTTATTTAAATCTTTCAATATATACGTCGGAGGATGAGACGAAAAACGATCGTGAATAATAAATATTTCTTCCGTCCAACCGGTAGGTATCCTCGACTAAATGTTTTACGTATTTTCGAAATTCGAACAAGGTCGCCAATATTAAATTTAAACGTATTCCGTCCTTTTATACCGTACAACTTTTCGAAAATAGAGCTATGATGTAAGGGAGTAACTTCCGACGGAGACATACCGATACTTCTATGAAAACTATTATTATAACTTTTCACAATATCCGATAATTTATCGATATATTTATAAGAATTACGATAAGTAAATAATCTATATATTTTATTTCGCAAAGTTTTATTTAATCTTTCAACGACAGCGGCTTTTGTATCGGAATGAGTCGAATAATGATTAATTTTAAATTTTTTAAAAAGATTTTTTACTAATCTATTATAAAATTCTTTCCCCTTATCGGTTTGTAAATTTTTCGGGATGTTTCTTTTTTTAAAAATCGTTTGAAAAGCTTTAAAAACTGATTGGGGTTTTTTATCTTTTATCGGTACGACATAACAATACTTAGTAAATACATCGATTACAGTTAGTAAATACTTTATTCCATTATTAAATCTAGAAAATTGTTTTAATACAACTAAATCAGCCTGCCATAAGTCGTTAGGATAAAAACTTATAGTTTTTCGTCGCGAATATTTAATTCTTACAGGTTTATGAAGCGTATAAGTTACTTGAGAAGACAACCATTTTTTAACAACAGATCGCGGCAAATTTGATTCTTTAACTAATTTACTCACACCACCAAAAGACGCTGGAGATTTAGGATTATAGTATATCGATTTCAAAAGTTTTTCCATTCGAGATTTTTCTTCCTCTTCCTCCTAGATTTTTTCGACCGATGAGAGAAAATTTCTTTGAGGGTTTCGATTGATGTTGATTGATCGAATATTTTTTCCGATGATGTCGCCAAACTTTTGTTTCCGATTAACTTTTTAAAAATATTTATTTTCTTTAAGCCATCAAAAAAGTCTTTGAAACCAACTGGAAGTAATGCGGTTTTTCTATTTCTACTTACATACGAAACTAAGTCTACTATATGACTCCCGATAACAGGTTTCCGTCGATTGTTAATTCACCTTTAGAATTCCATCCGTAATGACTTTGATTCAACTTAGCGATTAAATGAGGTGTAAATTTTTGATATAATTGAGGTACTGATAAAATTATTTGTTTCATAAATTCACTATCATCAGTTTCTTCTTTCGGTTGAGATTCTGTTTCTTCATTTTGGTTAGATACGACCGATACTCTGACAGGTTTTTTAGGAGCGTTAACTGTTCTCTGTTATCTTGAAATCAATTGACTTAATAACTTGACTTTATCGTCATCAGGTAAATTTGTACTCTCGAGTAATTCTTTGATATTAGAACCAATTCTTATTTCAGGCTTTTGATAACTCATCAGTAATTCGGGAAAAACTAAGGCCATCTGCTTCGCCATTAGATTCTTTTTCCTATTACTTTACCGATTAACCCTCCTGCCATAGACAATAACGGCGCCAGTAGAAGAGGAAGGAATCCACCAGATTGATTAACCAAAATTTTTTCTTGGTATTTAAAGGAACACGTTTATCGCTTAATTTCCTAATAATTTTTTTATATTTTCGTAATTTACGAACATCGGTGGGAATATTTCCTCTCAGCAAATTATCACAAATTTCACACAATACTTTCACTTGATTGGGAGTAGCTTTTTTTAATATGGCTTTCCTTTGTAAAGGAGTAGTCTTCGCTAAAAGCGCTAGCATATGATAATTTTTCT